CAGACTTGCAGGTCCAGGCGAAAGAGCTCGAAACATCCAAGCTCCTGCCAAAACAAGTGAGTGGCTGCAGCCCAGGGGTTTGGTTTTATGGGGCTGGGGTAGAGAGGAGGGTGGCAGCCTGTCCCTCCTGCAGCCACTCCTTACACGGCTTATGCCCCTGTGCTCTGGGCAGGTGCACACTTCGATCTGAGCTGTAGGTTCGCATCATCGGGCTGGCGTGTCACCCATTCTGCCACCCTGTCCTCCACACTCACCCCCTGGGCCTTTGTTCCCCCACCTGTAAAATGGGGTGCTGAAGACCTCACACGAAATGGTACAGGAAGGGCACCCTGTGTGCCTGTGCCGTGCCCCCTTCCCTGTGCCGTGGGTCTCTGGCTGCATCAGGTGGCCACCAATTGCTTCTCTCCATCCAGACCAAATAGAACAAGAAGGTCCCCAGTGCACAGCATTCAGGGCAGCACGTGAAGATGGAGCTGGCTGAGGAGTTGGGCCAGCTACGTGAGAAGCTGGGAGACCTAAAGGACATGGGAATCCCTGCCCCATTCAGGAAGGGCTAGGAGACAGGCACCAGCTTCTGACGGGGGATTCCAGAGCCAGCACAGCAGCTCCAGCCTGGGGGACAGGTGACCCCAGTCATGCACTGCAGTCCTGTGACTATTCATTGCTCCCTTCCCTCTGACCACACAGCTACCGCAGAACATACAGAAATGCCAGGAGAACCAAGGCTTCAGCAACAATCTCTGCTTTCCATTGTTTTATCGAGCAGAAAACTATTATGACAGTAACATCATGTACATCTGAGATGTGGGGCCCAGGGCTCTGCCCCCTCCCAGTTCCTGCTACCCTGTCCTTGCCACCACGTCTCTGCCACCCTGTCCCTGCCACCCTGTTTCTGCCACTCCTTCCCAATCACCCCTTTATCATGTTAAGACCCCTGTTCATTAAAAAAAAATCCAACCCCCCCCAAAATGAAAAAGGTGAAAAAAAAACTTAAAAAAGGAAAACAACCAAAAAAAGAAGACAGCACCCAGAAAACACCCAAAAGAAGTCAACACCCAATTGAAGAGGATGATGCCCAGAAAACACTCAAAAGAAGACAATGCCCAGAAAACACCGCAAAGAAGACAACAACCAAAAGGACAGTGCCCAGAAAACACTCAAAAGAAGACAACACCCAGAAAACATCCTAATGACGTCAGCACCCAGAAAGCACCCGAGAAGAAAATACCCAGAAAACTTCCAAAAGAAGACAACTCCCAGAAAACACTCAAAAGAAGACAACACCCAAAAAAAGAGAACGCCCTGAAAACACCCAAAAGAAGACAACACCCAAAAGAAGACCACACCCAGAAAACACCCAAAAGATGAAGACAACACCCAAAAGAGGACTATGCCCAGAAAATACTCAAAAGACAACACCCAGAAAACACCCAAAAGACAACACCCAAAAGAAGACAATGCCCAGAAAACACCCAAAAGACAACACCCAAAAGAAGACAATGCCCAGAAAACACCCAAAAGACAACACCCAAAAGAAGACAATGCCCAGAAAACACCCAAAAGACAACACCCAAAAGAAGACAATGCCCAGAAAACACCCAAAAGACAACACCCAAAAGAAGACAATGCCCAGAAAACACCCAAAAGACAACACCCAAAAGAAGACAATGCCCAGAAAACACCCAAAAGACAACACCCAAAAGAAGACAATGCCCAGAAAACACCCAAAAGACAACACCCAAAAGAAGACAATGCCCAGAAAACACCCAAAGAAAGACAACATCCAGAGAACATCCTAAAGATGATAGTACCCAGAAAACACCGAAAAGAAAAAGACAACACCCAAAAGAAGATGACAACACCCAAAAGAAAACAATGCCCAGAAAACACTCCAGAGAATACAACACCCAGAAAACACCCAAAAGAAGACAACGCCCAGAAAACACAAAAAGAAGACAACACCGAGAAAACACTCAAAAGAAGACAACAACCAAAAAAAGAGAACGCCCTGAAAACACCCAAAAGAAGACAACACCCAAAAGAAGACCACACCCAGAAAACACCCAAAAGATGAAGACAACACCCAAAAGAGGACTATGCCCAGAAAATACTCAAAAGACAACACCCAGAAAACACCCAAAAGACAACACCCAAAAGAAGACAATGCCCAGAAAACACCCAAAAAAAGACAACATCCAGAGAACATCCTAAAGATGATAGTACCCAGAAAACACCGAAAAGAAAAAGACAACACCCAAAAGAAGATGACAACACCCAAAAGAAAACAATGCCCAGAAAACACTCCAGAGAATACAACACCCAGAAAACACCCAAAAGAAGACAACGCCCAGAAAACACAAAAAGAAGACAACACCGAGAAAACACTCAAAAGAAGACAACAACCAAAAAAAGAGAACGCCCTGAAAACACCCAAAAGAAGACAACACCCAAAAGAAGACCACACCCAGAAAACACCCAAAAGATGAAGACAACACCCAAAAGAGGACTATGCCCAGAAAATACTCAAAAGACAACACCCAGAAAACACCCAAAAGACAACACCCAAAAGAAGACAATGCCCAGAAAACACCCAAAAAAAGACAACATCCAGAGATGTGGGCGCAACACCGAGGGTTGCGATCCCATTGCCGGTCAGTAAAAAAGATAAAAATAAAATAAAGAAGAAGAGGACCCCAACAGAAGGAAGAAAAATCCCCCCAAAATAAGAAAACCCCAACAAAAAACAGAAATCACCCCACATGAAGGATACCCCAACAAAAATAAAACCCCAATGATAAGATAACCTCTCAGAAAAGAAACTCCCCAAAAGAAAACTGGAAAATTAGAAACCCACCCAAAAGAAGAAAACAGCAACAAAGAGAGAAAAAAACCACAAGAAAAGAAGAAACCCACAAGAAGAAAAACCCCAGTAAAAAGAAAGTGCCAGCAATAGGAAGCCCCCCAAAGAAGAAAATCCCAATGAAAAGAACAAAACCCTAACAAGAAGAAGAAACACCTCCCACAAAAAGAAGATAAGTCTCTAAAAAGAAGAACAACCTTTGAAAAGAAGAAAAACCCCATAAAAGAAAAAAACACCCAAATACAAAAAACTCCAATAGAAAGAAGAAAGCCCCCCAGGAAAACAAGAAACGCCCCCAGAAAGCCCGAAAAGAACCCTGCAAAGAGTAAAACCCCAACAAAAGGAAAACTCCAAAAGAGAACCCAGCAAAAAGAAGAAAACACCCCCAAAAGAAGAAAACCAAAAATTCCCCAAGAAGAAAACTCCCACAAAAAGAAAAACCCAGCAAAAAGAAAATCCACACAGAAAGAAAACCCTAACAAAAAGAGGGGAAAAAATAACCACCCCAAAAGAAGAAAACCCATAAAAAATGGACAGAAAAATACTAAAATAAAAAAATGCAAAAAAAAAAAAAGGGAAAAGAAAAAGAACACCCCCCCTCGCCCCCAGGAAAAATACTAAAAGAGAGAAAAAAGAAACAAGAAAAAAAAAAAAAAAAAACCAAAAATAAATATGTAAGAAAACAAGAAGAAAGAAAGAAAGCAGCAGGGTACCCTCACCAGTAGTACAGGCTCAGGGACCCACAGGGGAAGACCAGTAGAATTAGTCCCTTCAACAGGCCAGTCAGGGAGCCCCTTAATGCTGGGGCAGGCCAAGGAAGCAATAAGGGCAGGCCTGGCAGGCCCTTAGCGGAAG